TCTGGAGCTCCCGCGCTCTCCCTCCTATTTTCCTAGCCCTATTTTCCGGGGTATCTTCTCTTCCCACGCGTTTAATATAAGAATTTACCCTTACTCCCCCCTAAAAGGATTCCCTCCAAAAAAATGGGGCCCATCTACAGAGGGTGGGGACGGGAACCCCTGCCCAAAGGAGCCCGGGGTTCCCCTCCCTTCTCCTTTTTTTAGGGACCCCCCCCACCCTTTCCGGGGGATCCCCCGGGTGGACCGGGGGTGTTTTCTAAAGAACCTTTTTTCCCCCCCTTTTGTGTCGAGGCCCGCTCACCAACCTTTACAGGGGGGGGGGGGGGGGGGGGGGGGCGCTGACGCTGCAGGATGGGAGGAGGAGTCAGCATGGCTTTCAGGCGTTAAAGGGGCCACATCCCATCCAGAGGCTGGTCTTAAGATGAGGGTGAAGACTTAGAAATGGTAAGACATCTGCATGGGGTGAAATTAAGGAATGATTAGAAATGCAATTTCAAAAGAAAAGTGCAATTAATAACAATTAATAAAAATAAAAATTCAGGAGGCAGACAACTCTGTGAATCTCAAGGATATATCTATGAAACAGAGGAAGTGCCTCTACTTTTTTTTAAGTCTTTATTTATTTTAATCCTCACCCGAGGATGTTTTTCCATTGATTTTTAGAGATAGTGGAAGAGAGGGAAAGACAGAGAGAAACATCAATGTTTTTGATTGGTTGCCTCCTGCATGGCCCCAACCAGGGCCCGAGGGGGAGGAGCCTGCAACAAGGTATGTGCCCTTGACCGGAATCGAACCCGGGACCCTTTGGTCTGCAGGACGACACTCCATCCACTGAGCAACTGGCCAGTGCGCTGACGCAGTAGCTGTCAGTGCCGCTCTGCTGACGCGCGTGCGCGTGAGTCACCAGCCTCCACAGAGCGCAGCGCCTGGCGGGCCTGCTCCCGTCCACCGCGTCCTCTCAGCCTCGTCAGAAATGCACACAGTGCCACCTGTCACTCTCTCTGTAGAGGCAGCTGGCACCTCGAGCCATGCACGCTCCCCATGTGTGACCTGTTGAATAAAGCCTC